TTGTTATAGCGACAAGAAAGAGACATGTTTAATGGGACATTTTTATCATTATACATCCTATCTTGACCTTATTATTTATTATAGTAGTCTTAATTTAAGTAAATAAATTGGAAAATTTTGTAGGGTAAAGTGAAATTTCTACGATGTCGAGCTTATAACTGTACTCCTGAGGTGACAACAACTACAACAACAACAACTACAACAACTACAGTACGAGCACTTTTTCTCAGTTCTTCATCAACATGTAAGTTTTCTTTTTTTTTTTTCTGATGGTTTTCTACACTTGTATTCCTGCTTTATTCTGGTATTCCCGCTTTATTTTTAAATATCATTTAATTAAGAGAGAAAAATTATGCTAAAATTTCGGAATTAATGTTCCGAAATTCTTACTTTTCTTTAAATCTTCCAACTTATAATATAGCTTAAAAAATCGATAATATATAAATCATCATTACACTTTAATTTAATTATATTACTGATTGATTCCATATACTTTGAATTGCATTTAGTTGAATGAAATTTAAATTTTACAACGAATTAACTGATAACGATAATGATAAGTGAACACTGTATGTTTCATCATTTCTTGACCTTTAATATCTTTCATATTAATAGCACCATAATTAGCATATCCTTTGACCTTTCACAGAAACTAATCTTGTCGGCAACGTTTTGTCTCTTCTAAATTTATGCAAGGAAAAAAAAAAAATCATTGATCCTTCATTTTCCCTCTTTTCCCTTATGAAAGAAAATGAAAGTTTAATAATCTCGAATGATTTAATTGTACGATTTTCATTTAATTAACTCAATCTTTGAAAAAGACATTTCTGAATGCGACATTCTAAAACCTTCTCAATCATATTATTCGACGACAATGATGACGAAAAGTTATGCTAATATTATTGTTGAAATAATACATGCTAAATTATTTCATCTCATCAATAATAAATTGAGATGAAAATAATGAAAAAAATGAATAAATAATAAATTAAACAAAAATAATAAAATAATAAATTTCAAAAAATAAAAAGTAAAAAAAGAGTTACAAAATTCAAACAAATTCAAACTAAACGATTCTTTTGGAATTTTTCATAAATAAATGAATAGCTATAGGAATTCATTAATTCTTCAATACGATACTAATTTCACAAACTGTAAATGAAAAATTATGCTAACATTATTATTTGGAATTATTCGATTGTTAAAAAAAAGAAAAAATAGATAAATTGTAGTTAAAAAAAACTAAATTTAACTCAAATTTTACATTCAATTTTAAAATTTATCAAAATTGTATGAAATGCATGAAAAAGCCTTTTGAAATAAGCGCAAAATGTTGATGACATAAATTGTATGAATCATTTGAGCGTAAAATGAAGAACGATGAAACGATTGATACCTTATTATATCTATTAGAAAAATAAAAGCGGCATTGATGCTTTTAGTTGATATGATGAAAACCCTTCGATAGTTCGATGAGTTTCTCGTTTGATTAATCCTTCTCAGCTGCTAATCATTCCCAATTCTCTCAAACTACAGTACTGATATCATTTAATAGATGAAAAAAAAAAAAAATCTTTGAGGGATTTTCTTACAAAAAAAAAGAAAAAAATTAATTTTTTAAAATTTGATTTAAAAATTTTTTCATTGCAGATATCAAGGCAGGTGCATTTATTACCGTAATCACATTTGTTACAGCTTTTCAATTAACCTTCAGGCAATATTGTCACTAAAAATATCCATCATTTTGGTGAGTATTTTTTCGTTTGCTTAATTAGGAATAATTGAAATGATAGCTTAATCAACCTTTTTTTCTTTTTCTTATGCTAATTACATCTATTCTTGATTTATGTATGAGTGAATAGTTGGATTGTTCTAACAACCTAACATTTCCGGTTATTATTCCTGTAAATTTTTTCCGTTCCATATTTCAATCCAATCACGGATTTTTTTTTTTAATTTCCTTTTGTTTTGTAATAAAAGAAAACAAAAAGAAGAATTTGATAAATTCTACCTAAAAAAGAAAATGAATTCAATCATTTGATTTTATTAATGAGATGGATAATTTTTTATGTTTCAATCCTAAATTATATTATTAAGTATATATGAGAAATACTATCTGAATAATATTTTTAATCAATATCTTGTATAAGTTATAATAGCAACAAATCTATTTAGATAAATTTAGGATGAAATAACGATCTCGTTACCTGTTAAAAAAAAAAAAAAAAAATTTAAAACCATATACCAAATAACCAGTAGTCTTATCCTGCAAATGATCACTAATAATCAATAGTTGATCCAGATAGGTTGTTTAATATTGTCAATAGATCCTTCCTAGTGATACTTGTTTAGGATAATTTCTTGGAATTATTCCTAAACTTTGCAAATTCATTTAAACAATCCTTTGACCTCTTTTACTAACAGTTATTCTTTAGGCATTTAAATAAAAAAACAAGACCTACTATATTACACTAAAACTGGCAAATAATGTTATAGTTAAATAACGCAAAAAGTTGGGCAAGGAGAAAGTAATAGGGATGATGAATAGTTCCTAATTTGACGCTAATTAACCTTTCACCCTTCCATTTCATTTACAATGCATACATGAAATAATTTAAAAATTACATTTCAAAAAATTCAACAACAAATTTCATCAATAATTAAGCATATTTCATAGAATAATCCAAATTATATTAGATTACAATGGTTCTCATATGGCTAGAAATATAACAGGCTAATTTAAATCTAGAAAAAATAGCATCTATTTTTGGCTTCTATCCAAATATTAATACATATTAACATTACTTATTTCACATAAATCCATCTTTCCTTAAGTAACAATCCAAAAGTTACCTCTAGGAATTATTGAAGCTAAATCACAATCTACAGTATCCCATTAAATCCAAAATCAATCAGAATTAGCATGACAATGATCATTAGAGTTGTAAGTAACAACTAATACTTTATTAATCTTTCATATGCATGCAAATATATTACTAAAATTTTGAAATAATCCTTATCATAATCTTTGATCTTAGACTTTTGAGATGATGTAACTTTTGGCTTCTTAACTTTAACAATTCATTCCTAATGCTAACATTATAAGGCTAGTAAAATGATTGATGGAGATTTTATTAGGAATAAAAAATTAAAATTTATCCTCTGACATTCATCAATCTTTCTTCTTTTCATTAGCTTATTCTAATCAATCCAAAATTAATATATTCATTTCTTTTTTTCTTTTTTTTTAAGGGAACTATTCCAAGCAACCATATGCAGTGACCAATGGTCAGATGTCCGATGCTACAACCTCCATAAATTCATACAATCCGGAAAGCATTCAAGTTTTTTTCAATTTATTCTATCCTATAAATGTTCCATTTCATTTTCCCTTAATTCAATTTTATCATAATATTTCAATATATCATTTATTATTAGTATCTGCTCAAGAGCACGTAGTATGAAAATGAATTCAAATACTATTTGATCTGTTGAAAATCATATCAATTAATTACTGTTAATGTTTAATTTAAAATTTATTGTTTGTTTGTTATGCAGTTAAATAATATTAATTAGATTGGTTAATTATTTGTATCTTTATGTAATTTACTTTTATTTTAAGTACATTTTTTTTTTTTCAAAGGCCATATAATTAATCTTATTAATGTAAGAAATTATTATCTAACTTTTTTTTTTTTTTTTGATGATATTTTTTATTACCATTATTGTATTCGTATAATTGCGCTTTGGCTTTTATTGAAGAAAGAATTGACGCTATCAGATGGATCTCATGTTTAAGGATGATTGAAATTGATGTTATCATGTGTGGGAAGATTGCGCCCCACTTTTTTTTTCCCCCTTAAAAAAATAATTCGGAATTCATTGAATTATATTACCTGAAAAAAAAAAGCATTTTACCTGAAAAATATGCATATGTTGAGATAGAAAACACTATATAGAATTTTGCATCACCGCGATTTCCCAATGAATATAAGGGTTATCTGTGATTCCAGAAATATTATTATTATTATTATTATTATTATTATTATTATTATTATTATTATTATTATTACTATTAATTATTATTATTATTATTATTATTATTAATTATTATTATTATTATTATTGCAGTTTTTTCCTTTTTTTTTGAAATTTATTAAGTTCGGTTTATTTTCTCCATCTATTGGTCTCTATAGTTGTTGATGAAATTGCTTTCATTTAATCTTTTTTTTTTTGTTTAAACTTATTTTAATATATTTGTTTGCAATTTTTCAATTACATGTTATGCGATATCTCAATTGCAGTTTTTGAGAAAGGACATGTCACCTATTAATTTTGATTTTGATCTTTATATTTTCTTATTCCATCTTTAAATCGTTGAATTTATAAAAATTCCATTTTTTTTTCTTTTAGTATGCTTTTAGTAGCTGTAACTGAAGGTTATATAGTATTTATATTAGTTTCATTCATAATGTCATTGAATTTATATTTGGTTTTTCGTTTTGATCATCTTGATCAATGAATTAGAAAAGGAGGAAGTATTCAGTTATCAATTTTGGGAGTAATGATTAAATATCCTTTCCTAATTTTTTTTTTGAAATCAACAAAAGATCAAATTTTACTTGTCATAATTAGTCTTGTTCTAATAAAGACATGAAGCTATTGTAATTTGATATTGGTCTTATTGCTGGCTAATTTTATGGCCATAAAATGACATAACACAGGAAGGATATTTTAATTGAGGTTTTAAAATATGTTAACAAAAAAAAAAACTTATGTGCGTGTCCATTTACGGAAAACTCTGCCTGATAAAAATCGAAATTCTCTCTTTACTGTTTCTCAGGCAATGAAAAGGAGATGTACACACTTTTTTGCCAATAAACATAGTAATATATCAAATAATCAGAATGGTCATTTGGTCAATGACTAGTAGATAAATGCGTAAAGTTGAATATGATGGCATTTATTATTATCTTAAAAGCAGATTACTCGTGATTACATATGTTACCACATCCTTATTTCCATAAAATAAATTTTACCAATCATCAAATCATTTCCATTTCAATGCATCTATTGATTTGATTACGTTGATTTCAGATCGATCACAATCGATCTATCGATTGACATGAAAATTGATAAACAAGGATAGTGGAAATGTTTCCAATCTTTTTATAATATTGCATTAACATTTTTAGGTCCATAACAAGATATCAAAATGAGCATGTTAATAGTGTAATTAAAGTGATTAAAAATCCGATGATACTAAAGACTATTCAACTTTTTCATTGCAAAATTTATCCTAGAATTGTGGTGATCTTTGATGAAAAAATGATATAAAAATAAAATTTTTTATAGGATCGATCATTGATCTACAGTTGATCGTTGACCTGTAATCGATGATCGTTGATCTAAGATTACCAGAATATCTCAAAGAAATATCTACTCAGTTTTTTGATAAGCAAAAGACAATCCTTTTTGTCACTTTTTTTACTCTTTTATCACTTTTTTTATCACTTATTATCATTTTTTATCACTTTTCATCACTTTTTCTTCTTATCACTTTTTATTTCTTTTTACTGTCACTTTTTTTATCACTTATCACTTTTTAATCACTTTTTTTATCACTTTTTTTATCATTTTATCACTTATCACTTTTTTTCTTTTTTATCACTTTTTTTAATCTTATCACTTTTTTTTATCCTACTTATGCAAATATCTTTCGACTTACCAATGATAAATAACTTCTAAACAAAAGTTATTTATTACGGCAACCACTATCACAAATTTTCCCATAAACTGACAAATACGGTAAATCTGCTAAAGTTTATTTAATACAAGCGTGATCTGTTCAGTAGAATTCATAATGATTTCATATATACATATAAATAACTGAATATAGCAGTTTCTTGCTAACAACTAATTTAAGATAAAGTGAATGAATGTAAAATAAAAACAATTAGCAGGATGATATGATTATGGTCATCAACTATATCACCTTATTACTTCCACTTTCAATATTTTCTAAATTAACATGATATTGCTTATCATACAGATCACTTGAATGTAACATGAGAACAATTAGCAGGTTAATTTAATGATAATTATAAAGTATAACCTTATCATCTGTATCTGCAATAAATTAACATGATGTTATTTATCATACTGATAAATTCGTGTTACTCTGCATGTTTAACATGAAATTTCACCGAGTTTTCAAATATTTTCAAAAAAAAAAAACAAATGTATGGATAAAAAAGTAAGCACATGAAATCTTTTCAGAGTAAAAGGTAATCTCTTCCAAAAAATTTTTCTTGTGTAATTAAAAAAAAAAAAAAGTAAAAACTTTTCATAGCTTATCGCTTTCCATTTGCAATAAGTACCGCCAATATTACAAGCAATAATTGGCTTATGCTATTCAATTACGCTACTAATGTTGCATTTAAATTTCAATCTAAATATTTAATTTTCAATTTACGATTATGAAATATAGTCTTATAAAATTATCAAATATAGTCTTGAATGATAATTTTTTTTCCTCAAATCATCTTCAGATCATTTGATAGTTTTAGTTTTATTTTAAAATTAGTACAAAAGATGTAATATACTGTTATCTGATGAAATGTTGATTGTCCGTTGTTTATGAAAAATCATTTCAATGTGATGATAATTGAATTAGCACAATTTGTTTGTCTTTTAATCAATCTTTTTTCATATTTTTAGCTAATTCATTGGGAGAAATTGACTGATAGCAGAGGAATACCCCAAAAGATTCCGTAAATGCATCGTAAATTTTCAAAATCTTTGCAATAAATTTCATCTTGATGCAAAGAAAAATGACAATTCAAGAGAAGTATCGTCTGCAAATTTCTTTCAGTCTATAAATGAAAAATGAATTGAACGACGGTAAAGTTTGGCTCATTTACTTGACAGCAGTCTCTTTTGAGCGCTTATATCTCTCTTTGTCGATGATGTCAATCCATGACAATGAAATGACACTGAACAATGTGTAATCATCAGAGAGACAGATATGAATGATAAGTGGAGAGGGGTTAGAACAGTTGAGTAGAATTCATTTTGGGAATGTCTGTTTCTGAATTGTCACAATCCTTCATGAAAAAAGCGTATGACACAATCTTCATGACAAAAGCATATGACAATCGTTACTGTTTGAAGGCCATGCAAATTTTCAGCAACCTTTCAATACATGACTCATCTTTCGAACAATATAAAAATGGCCCGAGGTATAACAAATACTCAACTAGTTTGAAAATTCCATGCGAGCAATCTACTGTCTGCAAACGTGTGACAAAAGCGCAACTGGTAGCATGTCATTTTGACAATCTTGAATACCTAGGTACTTTCCATTGGTAAATTTGTCACGATGCACATTACCACATTGTCATTTGTTTAATTATCGCAGGTTTCATACTATATGGGCAAATTAATCTATTAGCAATTTTTAATAAGCCACTTGGTTACTTACACA